GCCCGGGCCGGTGGGCGCCCTTGGCGGGCTGTCATCCAGAGGTGTGTCCGGGGACACGGAGAGCCCCGCTGTCACCAAATTCCCGGCAGTAAGCCACCAGAATTCATACGGTTCATCATTTGAGAAGACATAAACTTTGTAAGATCACGGATCCCAACTTTTTGGAATTCCTCTTGTGCTGAGTAAGAACAAATCCACAGGAAGTTGGTGAATATAAAGTATTCATTCAAGAGGAAGGTGGAATACCAAAGCCTGTGAACAAGAAAAAATTAAGCTTTCCATGAAAAAAGAAAAGGCATTTACACGTTTCGGCTTTCCGAGGGGGTTTGAACAAGTAGCGTGTAAACCCCAAGAGCCCCCAGACAAGCCCCTTCCCACCCAAAGATGTCTTTCCAAGGGGACAACTCTGTGACAAGGTCAGGGCACAAACTATTGCTCTGTGGCATGTTCTGAAAATAATATAAAAATAATTTCTATAGTACAGTTTAAAAAATTCCAATGTAACAGCATAAAATCTACAGGCAGAATATACTTAAGAATACCTTCCTTTATTTGTGTGTGTGTGTGTATAATTATTATTTTTTAATCATAGACACAGGTAACGCATAGGCAGGAAATGTGAACTGAATTATGGAAATAAGTTCCACTCTGGTTGAGAAGTAGCTGGCACCTTTCTGGGGACTTGCTGCCATCTGGAGACATCTGACCCTCCTGGAAAGGGATGTGTGGTCAGATCAGATGGGAGGGCTGGTCACAGGGAGGGTCGGCCACACAGCCTAGTCCAGGACATGCTGGAACGTGAGACTCGAGACCGTTCTAGATTTGGGATGAACTCCCTCCAGCGCCCCTAATCCACTCCCCTTTCCCTGCTCCACAAGGGTCCCCGAATCACAGAAGGACATTATGGCACCTGTTGGCCCCTCATGTAAACATTTCTAGTAGTTCCTGCCCAGACTGATAACTCATTTGGTCTCGGATCTCTGACCAGGAACCTCTGAGCCCGGCGACTTTACCATCAACAGTAGCTCTCTCACTTAATACTATTTGCAGCTGTTCTCAACCTGTGGGTCGTGACCCCTCTGGGGGTTAAACGACCCTTTCACAGGGGTCTCCTAAAACATAACAGTAGCAAAATTACAGTTATGAAGTAGCAACAAAAATAATGTTATGGTTGGGGGTCACCACAACATGACGAACTGTATTAAAGGGTCGCAGCATCAGGAAGGTTGAGAACCACTGGTTTAGAGGAAGGAGGAACCCAGATCGCTCACAAAAGGAAACAGTTATTTGTAAACAAGTGGATGCAATTCTAGCATTGGCCAGGAGCAGCGCCCAGGGGCACCCTTATGTAGAGCCAACTGGTGACCATGCAGAAAAGCCAGGGGCCTTCCACGCTGTGGGAGGGGCCACAGGGTGGGAGGGGCCATGGGTGGGAGGAGCCCACGGGGTGGGAGGAGCCCATGATGTGGGAGGGGCCGTGGGTGGGTGGGGTCATGGGTGGGAGGGGCCATGGGTGGCCTGTGGCTGGACCTCTGGCTCACATTCATGGCATATCTGTCAGATGGGGTTGGGGCAGAGGTGACTTTGAAATCGGCAGGGTCTTTTAGGTGTTATTTGATAACACCTAAAAATGACACTGCCTAATTTTGGAGATTTTTTTTTTTTTTATCCTCACCCGAGGATATTTTTCCATTTTTTGTACAGATAGAGTGGGAGGGAAAGAGAGGAAGGGAAAGAGAGACAGAAACATCGACATGAAAGGAACACATCGAGTGGCTGCCACCCGCACGACCAACCAGGGCCGGGGACAAACTGCAACCGAAGTACATGCCCTTAGCGGGAACTGAACCCGGGTCTCTCCGGACCACAGGCTGACGCTCTAACCGCTGAGCCAAACCGGCCAGGGCTGACACTGCCTAATTTTGAAGGTTTTCTTCTCTTATTACAATGGATAGATTTTATTCTGTTTACCTTTTTCTTAATTTAAAAAATGACGACAAACAAACCTGGCAGAGAACCTGAGACGATACAGCATCTGCATAGACAGCTGTGGAGATTCCTAGTTGGTTCTTTTCACATTACAAAATTAAAAAAAAATGGCCCTGGCTGGTGTGGCTCAGCAGACTGAGCGTCGTCCCATGGATAGAGGTCCTGGTTCGATTCCCGGTCAGGGCACATGCCCAGGTTGCAGGCTTGATCCCTGCTAGGGGGGTCATGCAGGAGGCAACCAATCATGTTTATCTCTCACACTGATGTTCCTCTCCCTCTCCTTTTCTCTCTCTAAAAATCACTAAAAACATATTTTTTTAAAAATTAATGAGCGACAATTTACTTCCTGCCTCCTTGACCTCGTGTGCACCTGCGTCTGGATTTGGAACCACAGTGAAGCGTCAGGGTCGCGGCTTCCTTCTCTGAGACTGGGCAGCGAGAGCAGTGTCCACACGCAGACGCGACCTGCTGTGACCTCCCGTGACCTCCCAGGGCAAAGCGTGACTTGAAGAGTCAGTCCGAAAAGCTGTCACAGACCCTCTCAATGAGAGATTTTGTTTTTCAATCCTCACCGGAGGATATTTTCTTCTGTTTATCTTCAGATAGAGTAGGAAGGAGTGAGGGAGAAAGGGGCATCGACGTGAGAGGGACACATTGACTGGGTGCCTCCCGCACAGCCCCGGCCAGGGCCGGGGATGAACCCCAATTGAGGCACGTGCCCTTGACCGGAAGTGAACCCAAGACTCTTCCACCCACGGCCGATGCTCTAACCACGGAGCAAAACTGGCCAGGGCTTGATGAGAGATTTAAAAAAACAACAACTCCTTTTTAAATTCTTTTTTCTTTTTTTTTTTTTTATCCTCACCCGAGGACATTTTTCCATTTTTTGTTCAGATAGAACGGGAGGGAGAGAGAGGAAGAGAGAGAGAGAGAGAGAAACATCGATGTGAAGGGACACATCGAGTGGCTGCCACCTGCATGACCAACCAGGGCCGGGGACAAACTGCAACCGAGGTACATGCCCTTAGCGGGAACCGAACCCGGGTCTCTCCGGACCGCAGGCAGACGCTCTAACCGCTGAGCCAAACCGGCCAGGGCTCCTTTTTAAATTCTTGTTCCGAGTAACAAAAGAAACCCCAGCAACATCAGGGGTGTGTGGAACATTACTAGTAATTACCATACGTCGCAGGTACTGCTCGGCATGAAAAGTAACACTTGCAAAAATTTTCTTAAAATTCGATTTCACAAATATTTTTTGCTTAATTTCAGGAACCAGTTATGCAAAACGTGAACAAATTATAGAAAACTCCACGTGCTGTGGAATAAAAACCAAGAAAGAATTACTCACAGGAAATACTCAAATCAGTTTATTATAATTCTTCAAACAAGTAGAAAAGTCCCCTCCCCATGTGTGTATGTGTGTATGTATGTGTGTGTGTATATATGTATATATACACACATGTACATATATACACACACATATACATATATATACACACACATATACACATACATATATATATATATATATAATTTTTTTGCTGCTCTTTATGTCCCGGGGGTAAGCATCCTTTCTGGAGGAGAAGCTGGCTCCAATGAAGAGATAGATGGTCTGCTGCCTGCACTTCCTGAGGGTACTCAGCAAAGCTGGGTGCTTTCTCCTGTTTTAGGGTTATTAGAGGCTCTCACAGGTTATAACGTATTCTTTTGCTAGCGAGGATTTCCCCCTTGTATCCGTAGTTCTCGGAGACAAGAGCTCTCCTTAGCAAGGCGGGGCTGGCTCCTCGGGGTCCTTGGCCAGGAACGGTGATCTCCGGAGGTAATCTTGGAAGAAGAGGCTGCATATTGCTGCACAGAACAGGGAGCTAAGGACACATTTTGTTTTTTCCTCAAGAAATGTAGGAGGCACCAAAAAGGGACGGCTCAGGGATGGGGCTGCCCCCTCCATGTGTTACGGAACCCCAGGCAGGGTGAGCCCTGGCCTGTGGAGGGGACTCTGACAGGAGAGGCTCCCTTGTGCCTGGCTGAACCCAGACAGATGCGGGTGGATGGGTGGTCTTCCTTCCCTTCTGAGAGGCGCCGCCGGGTTCCAAACATCCTAGTGGGACTTGCACAGTGAATAAAAGGTCAATTCCTCGCCTCTCTCCCTGGGCACCAGTGACCCTAGGGGCCCTCTGGTAGCGGTCCGCTGCAGACGTGTCTTCAAAGGAGAAATGTGAGCAGGCTGGCATCTTCGCTCATATGTGGGCAACTCCAAGTAGTGAGTTTAGAACCTTGCTTTTTGGACCCAAGGTGTTTTGGGGAAGCTCCTGTCACCTCAACTGCCCGGCACCAGGGGGCGATCGTCACTTCTCACCTCGCCCCAAGAGGTAGGTTGTCCGGTGCCCATCCTACTGACGCCCGCGGCTGGATGGCAGTGTGAGTGGCGCTCGAGCTGGGGGCTGGGGGAGGTTTTGCTTATGAGATGGAGCCAAGTATATTCCCAAAGGGCTAAAGTGACCATCAGAGCCTCAGCGGAGGCCAAGTGCCTCCCCTCCTCCAGAGACCCGGGAGAAGAAGTAGGTGGCGCCCAGAGCGGAGGGACCCTCCGCAGTCCCAGGCCTTTGCTCCTCAATCCTGGGTAGTACAGAGCGCACACAAGTGACCGCTGCGTGGAAGAGGTCAGTCGCTGGGTTAGGAAAAAAAAAAAAAAAAAAAGGCATGTAAAACACTCCCTTCTAAAAACAAAAGGCTGCAAATTTCTTTATTTCGGAACAAAAATACTCTTGCAATGGCTATGAGTTTCCACGGAACGAGGCAGATGCTAGCTAGCACACCCACTGCCAACAGTATGACTTGTTTCCTATCCGTCTACTACCTGAGTGGCGTCAGTGTAGGTTCAGGCACCAGTAGGAACGTTTGACCAAACACGCACACGGCACTGACACAGGGGTCGCCGGCCTTCCGGGTGACCAGGGCACGTAAAAAAGACACCGACAGAATGGAAAGCAGTCCTTTCCGGGCGGCCGCGCTCAGGGCCGCACCCCGCGCGCCTCGCGCCGCCGCCGCAGCTCCTCCCGGTAGCAGTACGAGCAGAAGTGCTCGGTCTCGGCGCGCCCGTAGAAGGCGCAGTTCTCGCGCTGGCAGCGCCGCTGCGCCGGGCCCGGCCCGCCGCGGCCACACTCACCGTTCGAGCGCGTGGCGGGCACGTCCGCGTCGGCGAACTCCAGGCCGTCGCGCGCGGCCCCGAAGCCGTTGGTGTAGGTCTGCGACTTGGGCTCGGCCGCGCCGGCCGCCCCCGCCACGCACGCCAGGGCCCCGGGCACGGCGCGCGCCAGCGACTCCACCGTGTTGACGGTGCGCAGGGCGGCGGCGCGCGCGGGGCTGTAGCTCTGCGACGACAGCGAGCGGTTCTGCTGCGGGTACGTGGCGCACGGCCGCAGCGCGCCCACGGTCGGAGCGCACGCCTCGTCCCGCACGCCCGCCGTCTGCATGTGGATGACGCTCTGGCGCGCCGGGGGGCTGCGCCCGGGGGCCGGTCCGCTGGTGCCCGCGCGCCGCGCGCCCCCGCCGCCGGGGCCCGGGGAGGCCGAGCCGCCCGCCGCCCGCGCCGCCCGCGTGCCCGCCGCCGGCCCGGGGCTCGGGCGCTCCTTGAACTTGAGCACCAGCTGCGTGGGCGGCCCCGCGGGCGGCCCTGGCGAGGCGCGCTCGGCACCCGGCGCACTCTCGGCCTCGGGCCTGCGCGGCGGCCTCTTGGCCGTGGCGGCGGCGGCGGCGGCGGCGGCGTCGCGGCGCCGCTGCTCCTGCTCGGCGCTGAAGCGCTCCTGCGCGCTGGTCAGATAGTAGCCGATCATCTCCTCGTGGAACTGGTGCCGGTGGCTGGTGAGCAGCAGGCCGGCGAAGATGAACTTGCGCTCGCCCTGCATGGCGGCGCGCAGGATGTTGAGGCTCAGCTTCACGTCCGTGCTGTACTTCCAGGAGTCGCTGCGCGGCCCGCCGCCCTTGTCCGCCGGCGACGTGCCCGCCGCCTTGTCCGTGGGCGACGGCGTGGTCTTCTCCGACGGCGACGTGCTCGCAGACGCGCCGGACTCCTCCTTGCTGCCCTTGCGCGACTTGGCCTTCTTGTCCTTGGCGCGCTCGGGCGCGTCGCCGTTCTTGCCGTTGGTGGAGTTGGCGCGGCCCATCTTGCCGTGCACCAGGCCGCCCAGGCCGCCCATGTTTTTCTTCAGCTTGATGCCCAGCGTTTTGCTGAAGCTGCCCAGCTTGTTGGCCACGGAGTCCGCGCGGGTCTTGTCCTTCTCCTTGCGCTGCTTCTCCTTGTCCTTCCCGTTCTTGCCATTATTGCTGTTGGAATTGCTGCACACCGAGTCGCGGTCCGAGTCCAGGGAGTCGGCCAGGGACTGCACATCCTCCCCTGCGGAGGCCGTTGGGGATTCCGGCTGCGCCAGAGGGGCCTGTGGGGGCAGAGGAGGGTGGGACAGGAGGGGGGTCAGAGATTCGCTGTGCCCACGTGGGAACCACTAACCAGACCCTGTCCCGGCCCTGTGCTGCTACGTTGAGGCCCGCGGATGTCACTGTCCCATCTCTGTTGCCTCTTTGGTGAACTCAGGTTGCTGGTAGCCTGGAACCAGAGCCGGAGAGTTCGAGCAAGGTGCAAGCGCCCCTGGCTTTGAGCCTCTGGGTCCCTGCACACTTGAGGGCAGACTGTCTGCCCAGACTCCGGCCTTGCAGCCCTGGTGAGGCAGCTGCCTGCACAGAAACACAGGGACCAGGCCCCAGGCCCCAGGCCCGCCTCTTTGTAGAGGCCGAGGCCTTGGGTGAGATGCCTCACCTGCACCTTAGGTGCCCCTCCTACAAAGGCGCCTCCTCCTGTTTGCTCCGGGCAGGGGACAGACACCTTGCCCTCAGAACCTCATTCTTTGGGTCTTGGAACAAACATCCCCTCCCTTCAGCGATGCCCAATCACTTTAGGGCTCCTTTCTCAGGTTGGCAGAGTGGTGTGCTAAGTTGGCAAGGATTCTGAAATAGGACATGGGCTCAACAGGAAAATGTTCTGTTTCCAGGAAAGGGCCTCTGGGGTAGGGCTGCAGGTGGGAAGGGGGAGGAGGGATCTCTGCGAAGACCCTAGAAGAGGCCCACGTGGGCCAGCCGGGAGGGCAAGGCTGTATGGGCACATGGCCGGGGCCAGCGCCTGGGGTAGGCGGAGAACCTGGGGCAGGAGATGAGAGGGTGGGCAGCACTACTGCTGCCGTCCAGAGGCTCCTTCCTGGTCGAGGAGAGAATTCTGCGGCAACATCTCAGGGGAAGACCTCACGCCAGCAGCCGCGTGTGGCAGGAACTGGCCTCCTGCCTGACCACCGACAGGGCTCTCCTGGCCTCCAGGGGAGGAGCCTGGGAGAAGGACCATTGCTCCTCACTTAATTTTTGCTCCCCCTCACAAAGCAGGTCCAACAGAGGGGTGAACCTCCTGCAACCAAGTCACCCAGAGCAAGGGCGGGTGGAACCACCCCCGCTCCCCCCCCCCCCCCCCCCGGAAATCCCTTCCTTCCCTCCTTCCCATCCTGTCTGGGGTCTGGAAGTAGTGGTCTCAGACTGAGAAGGGTAGAAGCTTGGGGGGTTCGCTGGGGAAGGGAGGTGTGCTTTGTGCACAGCCATGCCCATTGGGAGCGAAGTGAGTGAGGAGCCCTGGCGCAAGTGCCTGAGGGCTGGAAGGTCCCTGACCAGTGGCTTGTCTGCTGGGGGTGGGGTCGGGTGGGGGGCACCTGACACTTGGAGTCCCCAAAGTCTGGCAGGGGGCCCACTCACTGCACAACCTGTCTGTGTTCCAGCCCAAGAGCCTCCTGATTCTAGATCTAGAACCATTGCCTTGGAGCCTGTCCTGGGTGCTAGGGAAGGACGAACAGAGCAGCCAGGGGCATACTGCGGACACCTGGTGGGCAGGCTGGACTCGGGGCTGACTGCCATCAACTGTCACTTGTGCTGTCAGTAAAAGGGGCATCAGTACCTGCCTGCTGTGAAGAGTCAATACAGGTAAAGGCTGAAGCATGAAGGTGGCTGAGCAGGGCCCGCATGTCCTGGCCCTGCCGCTGCCTTTAACATCAGCCTGCTTATGACTGAGCAAACTTATGTCTGCGGAGGACCAATTCTTTATAGGCTTTTTAAAACAATACAAACCCCTTTCCCTGGGAATTCACTACTAAGCTGACAAAACATCAGTCAGATACTTAAAGTGACCTCCTCTTAGCATCTGGAGCAGGGGCGCTGGTCTCCAGCGCCGGGTTCCCTGGCTCTCCAAGGACCCACACAGTTTATAATTAATTCCGCTCCACGCAGCACTGGGTGTTCTGATCTCGCAGAGATAGTTTGTGCTGTAACTTGCCCAAGGTTTGTTTTCTGAGTGGGCGTGTTTATCCTTCTGGAGAAAACAAGGCAAAAAAATCCCCTAGCGGAACGCGGGCCGATGTACAGACAGACGCACGTGTTCCTGCGCACACGCACAGGGAACAGAGGCTTCGTCCTGCAGGTGCCATGGGGGCTGGGACTGCATGCAGGGCTGGAACCCGGGGTTGAGGTCCTTGGTGCAGCCCGGGCAGGTGAGCCCCACCCTGGGACCCGGTCTTTGCGAGGAGGCACCTGGCCTGCTAGGCGCCCAGCGGCGGAGGTCACATCCCGGCCAGCGCCAGGCTCACCCGAGTCTCAGAGGGGATCCGGATCCACGTCACGTTCATGTAGCTGTGCAGAAGGTTCAGTTTGGCTTCCAGCGACAGGATCAGCCTGGCGAGAGAAGACGCGGAGTGAACCGCCCCTGCCCGCCCGCCCGCAGGCGCGCCAGCTGTCCGGGAGGAGCGGGGGCAGCCCAGCCCCTCGCCCTGGAGAGCCTGGGGGAGGGGGTGCGGGGAAGGAGCTTACTGGGCCAGGCGGGCGTTGTCGTTGTCGTCTTTCCCCCATTCCCAGTCCTTCCCGGGGTCCACCGCAAAGTGCAGGGGCAGTAGCTTGTGCTCCGAGTCCGTGAGTGGGATCACAGCTGGAACAGAAGACCGAGTCGGGTGCCAGGTGGCCCACGGCCGCCAGGAGGCTGGAGCCCCTCACAGCCCCAGGGGGAACAGGAAAGGGAATTCCAAGACCAGATGTCTTCGTGATTAAGTAAAGCCAAGGGAGATCTCCATGACATCTGTGCCAGCCGAGCGTTACCATCACAGGACTCCAGCGCGGGCTCCCTGGCTTTTCCAGGGACCCACACAGTTTATAATTAATTCCGCTCTGCGGGGCACATGGTGTTCCGATCTCACGGAGATAGTTTGGTTGTGACTTGCCCATGGTTTGTTTTCTCTCCTGGAGAAAACGGGCTAAAAAAGAAAATCCCCCAGCGGGAGTGTACACCCGAGTACAGACGCACGCGCACTATTGACAGTAATGATTTTGTATTTATGGTGGATTTAAAGAGTTGTTGGCGTCATCATCTGGAAACGGCTAAGGGTTTGGGTCTGTCGGCAGACAGGAAAAGGCTATCACCGCTTCTGTTATTTCTGAGGAGAGACCCAGGTAGACCCAGCACACTGAGCAAGGGCACCTTGAAGGTCAAGGTCATCTGGGGCCTTCCCAGAGAAGGACCCAGGCTGCCGGCCCATCTCATTTGTGATTTCATTCAAGTCTGTCTCAGGGCAGGGGACCCTTGGTGGCAGCTGCCCACAGAGCTCAGGGAGACCCCTGGACCCAGGGCCCCTGCCTGCAGGGGGCTCAGGTGCTGTTGGGGCTGGACCAGCAGGGTCAGGTCCCGATGAGCACTTCATCGGGCCAGCACAGTAAACGCCTGCAGGCAAACAGCGTGGAGGGAGGGAGGCCAGCCTTGAGGAGGTGACAGGTAGGTGAGGAGAGGGGGGAGGGACTGGTTCATCACAAACTCCTGAGTGGCCACGAAGCTGGGTGAATGTTGCCCCCCCTCCCCGAGAAAGGCTGGGCAGAGTCCCATGTGTGCAGGTTTGTCTGGGATCTGGTAGGAGCTCCGAGCAGCCTCAGGGCCCAGCGAGAAAGCTCCTGTGGTCAGGGACCAGGAGCATGAAGAGGGAAGACAGCCTCCCCCTGCCGGCCCCACTGGGAGCAGCCCAGCCGCTTTGTGCCTGGAGCGGGCTTCCTGGCTCCTTGCCTGTCTGACGGGTGGGGATGGTGCTGCGGGGAGCCTGCCGGTCCAAACACTGGGGGTGGACACCTGTGGGTGCGGGGCACAGACCTGGCGCGCCTCCACGTACTCCAGTCGGACTGCGCAGGGGCCTCGACCGGGGGCTCTCACCCTGCTGTCCCACCACCCTGGGACGCTGTAACCCCCTTACAGACAGGGAAGTGGACTGAGACTGAAAGTCCTAGGTCTGGGCTCAGGCCTACCCCCTGCCTCTCTCCAGCACAGAGCACGCCGCAGGGCCTCTCTCCTGCCCCTCCCCATGCAGTCAGACCTTGCTGGGGGTGCGGGCCTGATTCAGGCCTTTGGGGTCGGGAAGCCCACTCCTGCCCAGGGCCTGCCTCTTCCTCTCACCCCTCCCTCCAGGTGCTGACTAGGAGCCAGGTGTCACCCCACATGACCCACGGCAAGGACAAAAGGCAAATAAACAGACTCTAAGACCGAGCACCATTCAACTACCATCAAACTGACTCAGTGCTGCCCTCTCGTGTTGCCAAGGAGGACGTGGCAACCCCAGTAAAGGTCCCAATTCCAGGCCCCTGATCAGATGGCCAAACCAGAGTGTCCAGGAAAAGGACCCAAGGACGACATTTGAAACAAACATTGTGGCACTTAAAAGCAGGAGAATCTGGCCCTGGCTGGTTTGGCTCAGCAGTTAGAGCGTCGGCCTGTGGACCTCAGAGTCTTGGGTTCAATTCCGATCAAGGCCCTGGCCCTGGTCAGGGTCGTGCAGGAGGCAACCAATCGATATGTCTCTGTCACAGGGATGTTTCTCTCTCTCTTCTCCCTCCCACTCTCTCTGAAGATAAATGGAAAAATATCCTTGCATGAGGATTAAAAAGAAAGCAGGAGAATCTGAAAACTTCTGTTCTAGAACAAGAATCTGTTTGAAGCAGTTGCTGTGGTGCACCTGGGGCTATGGGGCGTGGCTGTCCACTCTGCCCAGGGGCGAGGTCTGCCCAGCACTGCGGGGGGCAGAGACGCTGGGAGAAGTGTTGGGCCCCCACCCCACATCGCGTGCCTGCTGGTGGCACTTCACACTCAGAGATGAGCCCCACACACCCCTTGGCCTCACCTCCCACCGTGGGCTCCTGGGAATTCCTACACTCAACAGGGGCTGCCCGCTCCCCTGCCCCGGCCAAGCAGACGAGAGTCGCCGAAGGTGCTGGTGCCTGACCACCGAGTGGGTCCTGGAAGCCTCTCGGCCTGGGTCTTAGTGACCGGAAGGCCAGGTACTGAGGGACACGCCTGCTCGCAGGGAGGCAGCCGGGACACTCCCGTCCCCTCACCACGCCCTGCTGTGCCCACCCTGCCCTGAACAGGGTCTCAGGTGGCGGTGGGCATACCTTGTTCCCGTTGCTGATCTCTCTGCTCCATGGACACCAGGGCGGAGAAGTGCGCTTGATCGTAGGCAAGAACCAGAGGTGAGCAGTGGCACCTGTTGGGAGGCACCTCCAAGGGCAGGTAAACCCCTCCGAAGGGGATGGGTGCGAAGGCTGTGGGTACAGAAAGGGGTGAGGCCTGTGGAGCTGCAGACACCTGCGCCCTTACCCCCAGGAGAGGTGGGCCCCGGTCCCACCAAGGCCTTAGTGGAGGGCCCGTTTCCTGTCTGTGAGGCGGAGAGGGCAGTGTCCACCCTGGGAGGGCTGGGGGAGAGGCATGTGCAAAGGGACTGTGGAAGCGAGAGTGCAGCTCTGGGCGGGCAGGCAGCCTTTCCTGTCCTTTCCGCCCCAGCCGTGCCTGCTGACTTCATGTTTTCTGTCTTCTCTTTTCTCTTGGACACAGGGTGGCCTGAAGAGGGGCAGGAGGGGACGAGAGTGGCCGAGGGCCCTGGGATGAGGCCGGCACTGCTGGAGGGGTATGGGCTGTCTGCCGGTCTGGGGACTCGGGTGGGCCCAGGAGTGCCCAGGTTTCAGTCCCTGCCCTCACTGGGCCAGATTTCACCTGCTGGTGACATAGGGTGAATGAATGGCCCAGAGCCATCGTCCAGCCCAACCTCGGGGAGGAGAAATGGCAGAAAGGACCGATCTTGTCCACACCGAGGAGGGCTCCCGGCCTCCTGGGAGCTCCGCCCATGGCGGCCGGCTCTTCACTGGAGTGTCTGCTTTCTGGGGCACCAGTGGAACATGTTTGCTCTACCGCAGGTCGGCGTACCTTCCCCGCCCGAGTCCCGCAGCATCGTGTCTGCCACGACCACGATGGGCCTGCGCAGGATGTGGGCCAGCACGAACACGTGGAACTCCTCCAGGCTCTCGTACACGGGGTCCTCGGAGTTGTCCATGCTGGGGGCAGAGCAAGGGGCTGTCACTGGGCTGCTGAGAGAAGGGGTGTTGAGACAGGACACCGCCCTCCCATCGGCCTCCCTGGGCCCTGGCTAGCACACACAGAGGCCCCCTTCCTCCGTGCTCCCCACTGATGACAAACGCCCAGCCCTCCGCCCCTCCGGGCTGGGTGGTCTGGGTGGTCTGGGGGGAGGGGGTCTTCCTGGCAGCAGGGGCGGGGACCGGGGCAGTGAGGGAGGACACAGCAGGGGCGGAGGGACAGAGGCTTCCCCTTGCTTCTAGCACTTGGGCTAAAGCCTCGCCCGTCAGGGGCAGGTGCCCGGTGTGTCTGCCGGGCAGGGGGCCCAGGCTGAGTGGTTTTCTAGGGATGACCCCGTGGAAGAGGGCAGAGAGGCGTCTGCCTGGGTTTCAGTCCTCAGGGGGGAGAATGACTAGTGTGCACCCCAGCCCGCCCTGGCTCAGGGTGAGCGGGCTCCACAGCCGCTCGCATCCAGGCCCCACCGTGTGAGCAGAGGGTGCGCGTGGACGTCCCTCAACACGCAGCCACCCCGCAGGGGAGGAGCCCTCGAGAGGGCAGAGCCACGCTCAGCTTGATGGGGCCTTGGTGGCATCCGCGGTGCCAGCCAAGGCGGCACTTGGGTTCTCTCCTGGACACTCTGAGGGAGGGGTACCCAGAATTAGCTGAGGGCGGTCTGTGAGGACTGGAGAGGTGGGGTGAGAGGCAGCCGATGGGGCCCTGCTCGAGAACACAGGTGGGGTGACTTGGGGACACAGCTCTGCACACGGGTCCGCAGCCAAGGACGCAAATTACTTTTGAACAAAGGCCCGAGAGGCGGCCCGGCCACCCTCCAAGCAGTGGCTGTGTGGCCTCCTGTCCTTCCTGGGGTCTCCTCAGTGTCAGTGTTCACGCTCTCCTGTGCTTGGCTGCCTTTCTCTCTCTGGGGTGACACCTTGGCCCTGGGCTTCAGAACGTGTGAACTGTCCTGGCCAGTTTGGCTCAGCGGTTAGAGCATCGGCCTGCGGTCCAGAGAGACCCAGGTTCGGTTCCCACTAAGGGCACGTACCTCGGTTGCAGTTTGTCCCCGGCCCCATTTGGGGTCGTGTGGGTGGCAGCCACTCCATGTGTCTCTCTTACATCAATGTTTCTCTCTCTCTCTTCCTCCCTCTCCCTCTCCCGCTCTATTTGAGCAAAAAAATAGAAAAATGTCCTCAGGTGAGGATCAAAAAAAAAAAAGAAGAACATGTGAACTGAGGGCACTGTGGCCTGTCTGGCTGCACCGTTTCCACGCTGGGACGGTCCAGCTGAGTCTGCAGGCAGCTCGTGCCCACACGCGCACAACAGCAGGGCCTCTGTGGGGGACATGGACGTGCACGGAGCCCGGCCGGGAGACACGGGCTCCTGAATGACCTTTGGCTCCCACTCCGACTTCTTGAAGCCGGAAGTTAGGGATTTAGCTGGGAAAACCCTGAAACGTGGCAGGCGGAGGCTTCCCGGCCTGGTGAGCGCAAGGGCGGTGCACGGGCAGGACCAGCGCTGTGCCACCTCCAAAGGCTGGCCGTGCCCTGAGCACCCTCCCCGCCACCCCCTGCAATGTGCTGTGACGAGGCCCTGGGAACAGGGGTGCAGCCTCGGGACTGAGCTCACTCACATACAGGTCCCACTTCCCCTGCACCCTCCAGGAGGCTCCACCACCTGGAGGCGGGAGTTCTGTGTCCCCCGATCTCAGGGTGCCCCATGCTCCCTGGCACCCCTTGGCGATCTCGGAGAAGTGGGGGCAGCACTCACCCCCCGCCTGAACCGCCGGTCTTGCTGAAGTGCATGCGGGGCTCGCTGGAGGCCAGCTTGAGCAGCTCCGTCCACTCTCGCTCCCACTCGTCCTCCGTGTACACCAGCCCTGACTGGCACAGGGGACGTGGGGTCAGGAGGTGGGGGTGGCCTCCTCACCCTCCCGAGCCAGTCAGCCGGGCAGCCACACTGGACCTCCCGGCTCGGTGCAAGCCCCCCAGGACCCAGGCCGGGCACCCCTGTTAGTGGCCACCGACTGTCCCTATTTGCTACAGACAATATTTTTCAGAACCCCCAATCTCTCAGTGCTGTTGGGGGTTCACCCAGCAGCAAGGGTCATTCCTGGGTGGGTGACATGTACATGCGTGGGGCCTGGGCCAACCATCAAAAAGTCTAAAGGGACAATGGGCCAACTTCCAACAGACAGCAGGCAGATCCTCCCGCTGGGGGAGCAACGTGCTGATGTTCACGTGGGCAGACTCTGAGCCCCGGGAGACTCTGAGCCCCAGGGCTGGGGCCGTGGGCAGGGCCACAGCCACCTGTGCTGTACCCGCCTTCAAGCTGCCACCCGCAGGACCTGATGGGGGTGACCCCGAGCGTGGCAATGGTGGGTCTTCATAAGAAGGCAGTATGAGTGGGCGTGTGCTCACTGTGAGCAGGGCCCAGCCTCATCCTCGGTGGGTTTGAATGGGGAGGCCTTACTCGGCCCACAAGCCACTTCTGCCTGACCTCACAGAGAACTTGGCCTTGGGGCTGAGCTCTGGACTCTGAGGCAGCCTGTGGCTGCACCTGGGGGGGGGGGAGGGGCGGGTCCTGGTCTGGGCACCTGCGGTTACCAACCTCCTTGTTCTGCTGGGTCTGTTGCCACCTCCACCTGCGCTTCAGGGCTTCCCTCTCAGCCCCGGTCCTCATCATGGTGTAGAGAGCTTTCCGCAGGACCAGGTCTCGGTCATGGAAACCCCACATTCCTGCAGCGGGAAGCAGAGGCAGGAGTGAGTGGGGGACAAGCCTGGAGGGGACGCAAGCCACCACAACGTAATGGGCAGGCCTCTGTGTCTGCATGCATGGAGGTAACGCATCAGTCACTGTTCAGTTCCTGTGATGAGCCGGCAACCCCCTCTGCTCTTTGCCTGATGTTTCCTGTCCACACAAGCAAGTTAATAAAGGAGCATGTCACCTCCTTAGTGAAACAATAGCAAGCGACTATGCATCTCAGCCTCCTGAGAAGCAGAGTGGACAACAGTCTGGGCCCAGGAGATAGCGGCTTCCCAGGGAGAAGGTCTGTCCCACCCTTCCTAGCCTGTGCTGGGTTGTGAGCGGTGGTGAAGACAAACCAGCCGACTCAGCATGCACGCTCAGAGCAGCTCAGACATGGTCCAAAAACCCAACCAATGATAGGTGCAGCCCTGGCTACAGAAAGAGTGGGGCCATCCATCCATCTACCCATCCACCCATCCATCCATCCATCCATCCATCCATTCACCCATCCATCTATTCATCCATCCGCCCATCCACCCATCCATCCATCCATCCATCCATCCATCCATCCATCCATCCGCCCATCCATCCATCCATCCATCCATCCATCCACTCATCCATCCATCCATTCATCCATCCACTCATCCATCCATCCATCCATCCACCCACCCATCCATCTATTCATCCATCCATCCATCCATCCATCCATCCATCCATCGCCCATCCATCCATCCATCATCCATCCATCCACTCATCCACCCATCCATCCATCCATTCACTCATCCATCCATCCATCCATCCATCCACCATCATCCATCCATCCATCCATCCATCCACTCATCCATCCATCCATCCATCATCCATCCATCCATCCATCCATCCACTCATCCATCCATCCATCCATTCATCCATTCACTCATCCATCCATCCATCCATCATCCATCCATCCATCCATCCATCCACTCATCCATCCATCCATCCATCCATCCATTCACTCATCCATCCATCCATCATCCATCCATCCACTCATCCATCCATCCACTCATCCATCTATCCATCCATCTAGCCACTCATCCATCCATCCATCCATCCATCCAGTCATTCACTTGTCCACTCATTAATTTATTCATACATTCATTCATTCATTTAACTTAATCCTATCAATTCCACTTAATTGATTCCACAGTTACTTCACAGTAGGGGCGGGGCACCATTCTAGGTGCTGGGAATCCCCATGGCAGTGGCCAGGAGAGATTCCATCCCTGAAATCTTCAAGCACATGTTGAGGGAGGTGGGGCAGCTGTCGGATGAGATGTAACAGGAGAGAGGAAGCAGCTAAGAGGACAGAGTGGTGGCTGGTATGGGTCATGGGCATGAATGAAGACATCAGAGCAAAGATTCAAGTGGGTGAAGGAGGGAGCTGAGTCGCCACCCCAAGGAAAGATGAGGGACTGCCCCAAGGGGAAGCATATGGTGCACTGGAGAATCAGCAGGGGGAAGGCGGCTGGAGCTGGGGTCGAGGGGACGAGGCGGGCAGTGGAAAGGTGGGCTTTTAAAGTGAGTGGGAACCTCTGGAGAGCCTTCAAAAGAGGAGTGAACTGCACTGACCGGTATCTCTAAAGGTTCAACCTGGCTGTGTCCTTTACTGCAAAGATACCCAATAACCAGGGGCTGCTGTGGGCTTTCCATCAAGCGGGACTTTTGTCTTTTCCTACAGAACTGGGGGGCGGGAAGTGGCTGCCTGTGATCCTTTCATAAACAGGCCCAGTGGATCTGACCTGTCTGCAGCCACCTCCCGGGACTCCTCAGGCAGGGCACATCCCCCGTGTCCAGTCTCAGGTCCCTGTTTGGGTGTCTCTTGTGGAGAGGATTCTCGTTGTCCCATAAATGTTTGCCCACAGCCTGACTCCAGGACAGTCGTCATTTATTTCTCCGCGTGCCCAACCCCAGCTCAGTGTCAGGATGGTCAGCAGGTTCAGCGAGCATTGCAACGGAGTGTCGCACGGCCACTCCTGTGGGGTGTAGCTATTTGAGTCCAAAAGGAGAAAAAAGAACCCTTGACCATGAGCCCCAGGCTCAGTCATGACCCCGGCTCTCCAGCTGCTGGAGCAAACCCCCCCACCTGTCCCCACCCAAGGAGGCCCACCACGCTCACAGGGAAGACACCTGTTATCAGATAAAACCACAGCGGCATGTGGCCCCTGATGCTGAGGGGGCCGGTTTCTCTGCACGCTACAGTTTCTGAAGGACTTTGCAAGGAGGCTCTGGTGGACGCGTGGGAGATCTCCCTCTCACATGCTTTCCCCAGATTCCATCCAGACAAGAAGTATGTCCCGTAACAGGGCAGTGTCAACACACTGCGATGGAGTGGGGTGCAGTAAAACTCTAAGGGAAAAGGCTGAATTCCAGAAAGGCTGGGACACGGCGAGAGCATAATTTCACTGGAAGAACAGAAAAAACACTAGAAGACCATATGCCAGCACGTTAAAAGTGGCCATTGCCAGGTGGTGGGAGCATTGATTTTTGAGTTTTTTTTGTTTGTTTGTTTTTGTTTTTTTACCGTGGTGACCATGGAACCTTTCACAATATCAGCAGATAGGGAGAAATGGGTTAGTTTTGAAAGAGGGCAGAAAGGTGGTGCTTCTGTCTCCCCATCGCCCCTCTCAAGCCTGTGGAATCTTGGGCCCCGCTCCTCTGAGCCCCCCACGGCCCTTCCAGACCTCGTGTGTCCCCTCTAAGTCTTCTCAACATCATCTCAGCCCACCTCTTGCTGAGTAGGTCAGACGGGAGGTCTGGGGCCTGCCCTTGCTCGCTGTCCCTGGAGAGACCCTGCACTTCGGGACCGATGAGTGACGGGCCCTGACGCCCGTCTCTGGTACAAGCCAGCCCGGCTGTCCACCCCGAGTGGGCCTCATGCATGTAAGGCTGGGCCTGCAGGGCTGACAGCTTCCAGAGAGTCTGTGCACCTGCTGGGATGGCTTTTGGCAACCAGGAAGCTCACATCTTCCATAGAGGAGGTTGCTGACCTCTCCGCTGCATATCCTGACAGTGCCGATTATCCCGCGGCACCTATGTCTGTCGTTCTGTCTGTCTGATTGTCAGCCCAAGCGCATCAGCGGCAGCCAGGACGGTGGCCCCACACCTATCCAACCTCATGCCCTGCTCCTCAAGCTTCCTGCTCGAGCCCAGCAGAGCTCGGCCCTGTCAGTTCTGCCTTTACGCTTTACCCATGTGGTCTCCCTGCCTGGAATGTCCTCTAGTGAACTCTTTCAAGTTCTTCAAGTCTCAGTGAAAGCCAACCTCCTCCAGGAAGCGCCCTCTGATTTCTCTAGATCCCCATCTCTAATCCCCCTCCCGGCAACTCCGCTCAGGCCTCCTCCTATCACGACAGGTCTTTCCTCGTGTGTTTTCTTTTTAATCCTCACCCGAGGATGTTTTTCTATTTATCTTCAGATAGAGTGGGAGGGAGGGAGAGAGAAGGAGACAGAAAGAAACATTGACATGAGAGGGACACATCAATTGATTACCTCCCATAGGACCCCAACCAGGGCTGGGGACCAAACCGCAACCAAGGTACGTGCCCTTGCCTGGAACCGAACCCATGCTCATTGGTCTGTGGGCCGATGCTCTAACTGCTGAGCAACACGGCCAGGGATCCTCAGGTGTTTTCTGTGTCCGTCCTGGCCCCACCCCAAGGCTGCCAGGTGCTTGACAAGAAGAGGTGGGGTCACTGGGGGCCCCTCAGGGGACAGCGATGGGCATGGCTCCTTAGCACATGTGCGTCCTTTGCAATGCCCCGAGCTTACCCAGCGAGGCAGCGTGGAGAAGGCAGTTCCCGTCCCCCGTCGTGGCCAGAGGAAGAAGGCGTTTGCAGCTCGAGCACACTGTGGACCACCAGTTCAGGCGACCTGTGAGGGACGCTCACTTCAGGACCCGGGCCCAGGACCGGCCGCGCGCTCCTGAGCGGCACACAGACATGGAGCACGTTCCCGACTCTGTCACACGGGCGCGGGGAAGCCACGCTGGGAGACGCCGGCTCACTGGGCCCCCAGCCCCGCCCCCTCCGGGGTGCCGTGCCCCGCCTGGAACCCAGGAGTGCGAAGGCACCGCGCAGTCGGGGGCACCTGTCATCTGCGAGGATCCCGTGCCCCTAGAAACCCTCTCCCAGTGTGCGGATTGACGCCTCTCCAACAGCGCAGCCTCCCTACACCTTTCTGGGATCCCGTCTCTTAGGGGGTGGGTTACTTTCCCCATCTCAGTCCAGCACACACATCCAGTCACAGCTGGAAGTAACGGGACCATGACAGCTTCACCCCGGCGGGGGTGGGGGGCAAGGCTTCGTGGTCTGTTTACGTGGCTTCCAGAAGTCAAGACTCTGAACCCGGTTGAGAGCATTTCTGGCGCCCGCCTGGGAAGATGAGCCAACAGGGTGAGTGCCAGCACCTTCCAGCCTCTGGAGAGCCCAGCACGGTCCAGGGCCAGGCTGTGGTCTCCAGAGGACCCAGGAGAGGGGGCTGTGGGTAGGGGCCCCTCTGAAGTCTCCATCCTGGCTTGGAGAGAGCGGTCGTTCTCGTTGGCACCCAACCTCTGCACTCGCGCAGAGCAGGACGTGGGAACCAGTACGGTGAATATTTTAAAAAGAAACGAAAACGTGAGCTCCCGCCAAGAAGAAGAACAGATGGACACCGCCAAGGGGGGCTGCTGAGATTCCGGGGGAGGAGCCCTTAGTCACTTATTCTGCGCTTGCCGAGGCTCCTCTGAGTCATCGGTGACAAGGGACTGACTGCGGGAGCTCCGCAGCAGATGGGTACCACGGGTTGAGAGTCAGATTTCATTTCTGCTCATCACCCACCAAGATGTAACTTAGATGGAAGAAAACAAAATGTGAACATTTTCTAAGACCAAGGGGAGTGAATTCTGGCCCTAAAGGTGGCCCTGTGATTCCTTTAAACATCACTGCCCTTTTGGGGAGACCCCACCCACCTGAGGCCACTGATCCCCCCCCTTCTCTGGGCATCGCTGTGCCTCGTGTGTCTCCGCATGTCTCCCGCCCCACCAAGGCACTGTGATGCTTGCTCTGGTCCCCCATGCCCCAGACCCCCTCCTGCCCTGGTGCTCAGCACCGCAGAGCGTGTGGGGCATGGTGGGAGGTCCCTGGGATGAGCTCCCCCTGCCCCGGATGTCATCTCACACCTCACAGCCCACATCAACCAGACTTCTCCCAAAGTCCAGACTCTTACCTCAGCTAATCGGCCACTATGAGCCACCAGGACCCCGGACTCTGCCAGCCAGTTCTGGCCTCTCCATCGCCCCCCCCCCAAACCTGCCCCTGGTCGAGGGGTTCGCATTTCCGCACGCACCTGCCTCTACCCACGTGCTCAGGGAACATTCTCGGGGCACGCTTGGCTCCCCTCCTCTCGCCGAGGCCCCCATCCCACCCAGCAGGACCCCTTCGAACAGAGACCACTTCAGTATCAGCTCCTTCCCGTCCACGGCTGCCCCACAGCCATGGTCTCCCACCCCTCCCTGCTCTTTCTGCTTTTTCCCTCGCCCCCCCCCCCCCCCCCGAACAGCCAGGATGCACCGCTGGGTCAGCCAGGATGCACCGCTGGGTCTGACCACACAGTCTCTTGCTCTCTGACGGAAGTGAGTGGCCCCAGTGGTTGCCTGAGCCTCAGCCTGTGGATCTGCGGGACTCACCTGCCTGCTCCAAGGCCACCATGGTCGCCTGCTCAATCAGGTCCCGTTCGATGAAGCTCCGGAAGTCCTCACTGTACACGCTCAGGTCGGGCAGCTGGAACGTGTAGATGGGCATCTCCAGGGGGAACTGCTCGCTGCTGCACTCACTCGCCACGTGGGACCGGGCCAGGGACACGATGGCGGAGCTGGCGTGGGAGATGCCCCGGGAAAGACGCTTCTCTGCAGGGGTGGGGCAGGGGGAGAGAGTCCAATGCAGCTGGAATGATAAGGCTGAGCAAACGGAAACAAACTCAGCATTCATTCACAACAGTCCAGGGCGGGGGACCTAATGCAACAGGAGACCAATGGAATTCACTGTGTAAATATGAAGAACATTAAATTATTTCAGACGCTGTGATTATAGAATTAGAAAACCCAAGAAATTAGAATAGTCTTAATAAGAGAATAAGGCAAATATTAATAAGAAAATGTAGGCAACAACTAGATAAAAGATAAATATACAAAAACAAAGTGTTTTTTCTTGATGCCTAACGTCTCCGGGTAAGCGCAGAGGTGTGTGCAGGGTTCTTGGATAGGAACACAGTATTACAGTGTGCCGATTATTCCTGAAATAAAATAAAAATCTAATCTAATTCCAATGAGAAGTCTTATTTTAAGGTTTATATGGCAGAATAAATATCCACAAATAGTGAAAACATTTTGGGAAACAACAGCGATAAAGGGACTGGCCTAAGGGAAGGGAACACGGCATGAAACCCCTTCAGTTATCCTTCAGTTAGTGCAACATAGGCAGCTACATGGACGGACAGGGGCCGGAAACGGGCCCAAATGTATCTGGGAATTTAACAGATGGCCAAGTTGGCTTTTAGTGTAGTGGGAAAGGAATCTTTATTAATAAACATGCTGGAGTAACTCATTCTCCGTCCAGAAGAAAAACTAGATGCTGAGCTATTATTTATGAAAAGTTCAGCCGTGGTGGTGTGGCTCAGTTGATTAGAGCATTGTGCTGTACATGAAAAGGTGGTGGGTTTGATTCCAGGTCAGGACACATACCTAGGTTGTGGGTTCGATCCCTAGTTGGGGGTCATTTGGGGGGCATTTGGGCATTTGGGTTGATGTTTCTCCCTCACATCAATGTTTCTCTTTCTCCTCCCTTCTTTTCTCTAAAATTAATTTTAAAAGAAAAATATCTGCATCTGACCAGCGAAGAGTCGGCCCTTCACAAAATTATTTAATTAATTAAAAATAAATAAAATAAAATATTTCAAGTCAGTTAAAATACCTAAAGACAAAATTATCAAACAAACATGGGAAAGTATGCCAGTAATTTTGTTTCCTGGGAACCAGATGCCTCCCAGCCGTGAAGGCACGGCCACGCAGGCAGCCACGAATCACGAACGTGTAATCACGCAAGCATTCTGTGTGGCAGGATATTCTGCGAACAAAGCCATGAAGCAAACGCAAAGTGCGACATAGATATTTATAAAACATATAACCACTTATAGGCTGAATCATGTTGTGTACGCAACAGAATGAGGCTTTGAATGCTACCAATGGATAAGAAAAATGCTAACAGCTCTGTAGCTCTGTAGGACATTAGGCCAAGTGTGTGAGCATGCACGGAGCAGAAGGGGAAATCCAAGCACCAACAAGCAAACGACAAGACGAGAGTGAAGGTCACACAGTAGTTTCCACTTTGTCCGTTCGTCTGTCGTGAGGACACCCAGTCCTGCAGGAGTGAAGGGAAACCCAGCTCCACACTACGAGCAGAACTGTTTGGGAAAGAGCCTGTAGCTATTACATTAAAGAGGCGGTGTTGGCAGCATAAACCCACATTGGGAAGGCTACCTTATGGAAACTAAAGCACCAGTATGTAAGAACACAGGCAGAAAGTTAATTTTATTATTATTATTATTTAATCCTCACCCGAGGATATTTTTCCATTTATCTTCAGATAGAGCAGGAGAGAGGGAGAGAGAGAGGGAGAGAAACATTGATGTGAGAGTGACACATCGATTGGTTGCCATCCGCACAACCCCAACCGGGGTGGGGAATGAACTGCAACCGAGGCTGGAATCGAACCTGGGACTCTTTGGTCCACGAGCTGATGCTCTAACTGCTGGGCCAAACAGGACAGGGCTATTATTTTTATTTTCTTACTGATTTTTTTAGAGAGACAGGAAGGGAGAGAGAGATAGAAACATTGATGTGAGAGAGAAACATTGATTAGCTGCCTCCTGCACGCCCCCTACTGGGGATCGAGCCCACAACCTGGGTATGTGCCCGACCGGAATCAAACCGGACCGGAATCAAACCGGGACCTGTCTGTCTGTGGGACATTGCTCAATCCACTGAGCCATAGTGGCCAGGCCAGAAAGTTTATTTTAGTGTTGCCGTCATGTCAAAAACAAACAACAGCAGCAAAACCCAAGAAAGGAAAAGGTGTGGTTTAAAAATGATTGCACGTGGCAGAGTGAACTCTTCGGAGAATAGGCTCCCGATGTACTGGTCAATGAAAAGAGCAATCTGCCCAGTAGCGTGCACGTCTGATTGGCGCCTTTGCCCTCGGCACAGACGGAGGCAGACACGGATGCAGTCGCTGGTTAGAGCTCCGGTGGGTTGGGAGAAGAAAACCGTTCTCTTTGTAAATCTTTGCACCGCGTCCTTTGTTACCATGAGCAGATCTTACTTTGGAAGAAGGACGGAGCCCGCAGAGCACACAGGACGATGAACCCCAGTGTTGAATAGGCTTGGAGACTGTTCGGCTTGAGCAAGAACGGAAGGACCCCAAGACGTCTGGCCTGGGAAAGCCAGGACTCTGGGAGGACTGCTGGTCTACCATGCCCTGGGCCTGCGTCTCCTGCCTCTCTGGGGACATTTCAGCTCAGCGGGAGGAGCCTGACTTGCCCGCAGCAGGGAGGTGATGACCTGGCATTCCGTGCACCCCCCAGCGCCCTGTAAACCGTGGCGCGTGGCCCAGGGTCCAGTGCCTGGGCTGGGTCCCTCGGCCGGTACCTTGGGCAATGTCGTCCTGTCTCTGCAGGCAGGGCCGCTCCACCTTGTGCCCGGGCTGGGGTGGCTCTCGCTCCGGCTGCTTGGGGAACCTGCCCTCGTTGAACACATGCGGCAAGTTGGCTGTGGGCACCTGTCGGAGCTGTTCATAGTCGCTCAGAGCGGCGCTCAGGTCCCAGTTTTTGCCTGTGGACGAGACATGAGCAGAGATGAAGACTCCAGGGCGCGAATGGTGGTCGCGCTGCAGAAAAGAACTGTGCAAAGAAGAGTTTCTCGTGAACGGTGGAGGAATGGTCTTCCCACAGCTCAGTGCGGCAATGGGGGGAGGGGCCGGACCCGCTCAGTGCGGCAGTGGGGGCGGGGCCGGACCCGCTCAGTGCGGCAGTGGGGGCTGGGCCGGACCGGCTCAGTGCGGCAGTGGGGGCGGGACTGCTCAGTGCGGCAGTGGGGGCGGGGCTGGACCGGCTCAGTGCGGCAGTGGGGGCGGGGCCGGACCCGCTCAGTGCGGCAGTGGGGGCGGGGCCGGACCCTCTCAGTGCGGCAGTGGGGGCGGGGCCGGACCCTCTCAGTGCGGCAGTGGGGGCGGGGCCGGACCCGCTCAGTGCGGCAGTGGGGGCGGGACTGCTCAGTGCGGCAGTGGGGGCGGGGCCGGACCGGCTCAGTGCGGCAGTGGGGGCGGGGTCGGGACCGCTCAGTGCGGCAGTGGGGGCGGGGCCAGCGGCCCGCAGCCCAGGGACCAGCCCAGCGCGGCAGTGAGGCCTTCGCATCACCTGGAGACCGCTGTCGGCTCTGACTCCTGACTGAGGGTCCACGGCTAATGGAAGGGACTAGGCATCCCACATGGAATCTTGTTCAGTTAGGCATGGTGCCCTTTTATTTTATTTTTAAATCCTCACCTGTAGATATGTTTTTATTGATTTTTTTTTTCTTTTGAGAGCGAGAAAGATGCACAGGGACGGACAGGACAGCACCGTGTCTTGGGAGGGAGTGACCATCACCAATGTGTACATGAGACCCCTCCCCAAACAAAGAACAAGAGAATCGGGAAGGGAGGCAGGGGGAGGGGAGGCCACGGGATGGAATAGGACCAGACGCTGAGGGGCTCCAGGCCAGGTGGAGGAGCTGATTCTGTAGGAAACAGAAGATGGAAGGATTTGGGGAGATGGAGCCATCCACCCGGACCCTGCTTCAGAAGGACCACTGTGCCAATGTGCGAGGGCAGGCATGAAGGTGGCGGGCCGCCAGGTGAGGACACACCTGTTCCCCTGGAGGCAGATCCGTGCTCACGGCCGCTGTCTGTGTGTCTCTCTCCTGCTGGCCTCTCATCAACCTAGGCCCCTCTTTAGCAGTACAGAGAGGGCCCACGTACCTCTCACCTAGTCTCTGCCATCACTGTGATCTTTAACCCTTAGAAAGATCACCATGAAAAGATTTCATTCTCTGAAACTCTGGCTTTTAGAAAAATCTCGACTCAAGGAACTTTGACAACCTCAAGACCCCACCGTGCATATGTAAGCATGGTCTCCCCACTTGTAAAAGCAGAGGACAGGTTTAGCCCCAGGTCAGACAGAGTGAGGACCCCCTACCCGTCTCCTACTGAGAGCAGCCGAGGTACCTGGCAGGTTGCAGGGAGCGTGGTACCTGGCAGGTTGCAGGGAGTGTGGTACCTGGCAGGTTGCAGGGAGCGTGGTACCTGGCAGGTTGCAGGGAGTGTGGTACCTGGCAGGTTGCAGGGAGCGGAGGGGGGCTCAGAAAAGTGAGTGAGAGAGGGCAGATTCGGGAGGAAGACCACAAATCAAAGTGCCGCAGAGCTGGTGGGGAGCTTGTCACTGTGTCTCCCAGTCTCCCTGACATGAACTCAGTGCAGCCCCGAACCCAGGGGCGGGCATGAGCTCCCGGAGAAGCCGTCCAGCTCGGGCTCAGGACGTAGGAAAGGGGTCTCTGAGGTTCGTAGAGAATGTGGAATCACCTTATCTACTTTTTATCTTTTAAATATTTTTCCGGTCTCTAGTGTGCCAGTCCTCACGCCATTCTGTGGTGGCAGAACAGGAGGCAGCAAATGCAATCTGAGAGGCGGGGAACTTTCCCTTCCACAGAGGAGCCATGGTCCCCAGAGGTGAGCCCCGCTGTGTTTGTTTGTTTGTTTGTTTTTTAACAAAGCCACAGTGTGCTTGCTGGAGGTCTGACAAGGGGGAGTCCCAGGGACCAGGCCTGCTGAGGGGATTATGATGAGGCAGGGGACTGGGGCATCAACCCTTGGAGTTTTTGTGAACCCCTGGGCTGCTCCTGCAAGGACCTGACCCTGCGCAGATTTCATGTGGGGCCGACTGGCCACTAGGTGGCGCACCCCTGAGAAGACCCCAAGAGCATTTCTCAGACTCGGCCTGGGAACCACAAACTGCAGAAGCCCTGGGAACCCCGGAACCTGTGGCCTGGGCCTACTGGGGCAATTCCCTTCTAAAACAAAAATCACGACATTTGCCGTAAGATTTAAACAACAGCCAGTCTCGAAACATCATACTCAAAATGTTTAGGATGTAACCCAAATTCACTCAGCACACAGAAACACAAGAGAAATAAAGTTTCCTAGCAATGCTGGGGTGAAATTAATACTGGAATTATCTGATGAAGACTGTGAAGCAGTTACTGTCAATATTTTACAAGTAAGAGAGAACATGCAAATATAGAAAGTCTCAGCAAAGAAACAGAAGATATATATACACACACACATATATATGTAAAGAGTCATATGGAAATGTCAGAAATGAAAAACTTTAAGAGGCAAAATAAAAAACTCTCTGGATGAGCTCAATAACAGAATATAGATGACAGAGGAAGGAGTTAGTACCTTTATAAACAGAGCAATAGAAATGATCCCACCTGAACAACAGACAGAAAAGGACTGAAGAAGAAAATGAATAGGCTGTAGGAACCTGTAGGACAATAGCATCTCGGTCCAGAATGAGAGGAGGAGAAAGTTAAATAATAATAGGTGAAGGCTGGCTTACTGTCAGAAAGCAATCAATGCAATTTTCATATTAGCAGCTTACAGAAGAAAACCCTACTTGATTATATCAATTGATTTAGAAAATGCATTTCACAAAGTTCATATGTGTTTATGATAAAAGTCTCATCAAACCAGGAACAGAAAGAAATGTCCTCCACCTGATGAAGAGCATCTACAAAAAGCTACAGTTAACATTCTACATGATGGTGATGGTGAAAGACTGAGTAGTTTTCCCCTCAGGTCATGAATGAGGCTGTTTTCCTTCAACATTCTCTCTATCCAACCTTTTAAAGGAAGCCCTAGCGCCCTGGCCGGTTTGGCTCAGCGGTTAGAGTGTCGGCCCACGGACCAGAGAGTCCTGGGTTCGGTTCCCGCTAAGGGCACGTACCTTGGTTGCAGTTTGTGTGGGTGGCAACCAGTTGATGTGTCTCTCTCACATTGATGTTTCTCTCTCTCCCCTCTCCCTCCCACTCTATCTAAAGATAAATGCAAAAAAATAAAAAATAAAATAAAATAAAGAAAGCCCTAGCTAATGCAACAAGTCAAGAGAAGTAAAGGGCATATACATTGAAAAGGGAGAGATAAAACTCTCCATATTCAGAGACAACATGATTGTCTATGTAAAAAATCCCAAGAAATACACACACACACACACACACACACAGTCATGAGGGTGCAAATGTATACACACCCCATATAACAAATGGTTTTCAGCGAGATGGCCAGATACAACGGCAACACACAAAAATCAATTCTAGCCCGGCCGCTGCGGCTCAGTGGACTGAGCGTCATCCCAGGGACTGAGAGGTCCCAGTTCCATTCCCGGTCAAGGCACACGCCTGGGTTGTGGGCTCGATCCCCAGTAGGGGCTGTGCAGGAGGCAGCTGATCAATGTTTCTCACATCAATGTTTTTCTCTCTCTCTCTAAAATATCAATAAAACATATTTTAAAAAATCAATTCTATTTCTCTCTACTAGCAATTCTTCAATCTTTCATTTCCTAATAACAAAAATAGCTTCATCACTAACACCTTCTCTTACATTTTAAAGAGTCCAAGTACCGCCATTGTCAGGTAACGGAAATCTTATCTTTTGTCACTGGGTTGGCAGGTAGTTACTCCTAAGAGGGAGTGTGGGGACGAGCAGGAGGCTTACCTTCCAGCAGGTCTCTGGCCAGACCAGGCTCTGCCCCCGTGGACCGAACAAAGTCTGACAGGACTGCGTCCATATCAAGAGTCATATGATCATGTAGAAGGGCCACCCAGCACTCAGCCGAGGTGGGGTTGGGGAGCAGGCTAGAAACCATCCATCTGCAGAGGAGACGAGAGAAGCAAAGGTCATGGACGTGGCCGTAACTCTGGGAACACGCAGAGACCCAGTGGAGGGAAGGAGCCCTTCCCGCCTGCTGTGACATCTTTCTGAGCTGGTTTGAGACCACTGCCCGATTCTGCATGTGAAACATTAAATAACAAAAGTCAAGTCGTGGCTCCATGGTTCAGGGGTTAGAGCACTGGTCTTGTAAAAGTCAAGTCGAGCATCATCCCCTCTGTACCTGACGTTACCAAGGCCAGTGCTTCCGACCAAACATCCTGCCACCTAACATTCTGACAACCTGTGAACAGAATGTAGGCAAGACTGTTTTTAAAAAAATCTGCCCGGCCGGTGCGGCTCAGTGGACTGAGCTCCTCCCGCGGACTGAGAGGTCCCAGTTCCATTCCCGGTCAGGGCACAGGCCCGGGTTGCAGGCTCCATCCTCAGTAGGGGGCGTGCAGGAGGCAGCCAATTGATGTTTCTCTCCCACATCAATGTCTTTCTCTCTCTCTCTCTCCCCCTTCCTCTTTCTCTAAAATATCAATAAAAACATATTTTAAAAAAATCAACACCTGAATAAATTTGGAGAGGTTAACTGGGAGTTACTAGGTTTTGCCGTGTTGCACAGACAGGAAATGCTTCCGCCGTGCGTGAGCTGCCTGCGCCATCCCAATTCACCTTTGCAGTGAGCCACGCCACCCCCAGCTCCCAGCCCTCACTGGCTCTCAGGAAAGACCCCTGCCAACCAGAATGGGCTGAAACCCCCAGCGTGCTGACGACTGATCTGCCATCTCTCCGCGAACTGGTGTAGTCGCAGCCCAGTGACCCGACAACATCATAGGACGTCATGTTTCCTTGGCAGGGTGATCCCGTTAGGAAGATACAACGGGCACCCTGCAGCGTGGTCACAGGCTGGACCGGCCAACTGCGGGGAAAAAGCACCCAGCGCATGCATGTGAGGCCACCTCGAGGGGGCCAGCGCTGGGCCACTGGTGGTATGTTCCCCGTGTGGGCATGGGTAAGGGCTGAGTGAATCCTGGCCTGTGGGCCCAGACGCACACACTTGTTTTTGTAAATCAAGGTGTCTGGGCTCAGCTTCGCCCGTTCGCTTACATCTCCTCCGCTTGCTTTTGCCCCTGGTGGCTGAGCTGAGCAGTTAGAACCGGGAGCATGAGGGCCACAAGTTCCCAAATATTCACTATCTGGAACTTTACAGAGAGTGTGCCGAGCCAAGTACTGATGGTGGGACATTTTATACTAGTATAAAGTATGTAGTTAATTTACATGCTGGGGCGGGGTGCAGAATCGAAATGCATTCTATTGATGAGTGTCCTGTTCTTTCTTCCAAGGTTGATGACCTGGACCACGGTCCTGCCTGGACCACGGCTCCTGCCTGGACCACGGCTCCTGCCTCAGCCCAGGCTGCCGCCCTGATGTGCGGATGAAGCTCTCTGAGCCCACCTGAGCCTCTGGAAGACCAGGAGGAAACAAGCTCATTGCAGGTGCGGGCCGTGGGGCTGAGGGTCAGGCAGGGGTCTGTGACCTGGGGGATGTCACTGCTCATGTCACCCTTCACCAGGCTCCTACGGGGGGTCATCTCTGCTCGGTGTGGCTGAAAGTAAGAAAATGACTGGACCTGATGTTGCTGGTACCACCTAGGAGACTGCCTTCCCTCTCTCCACGCGCCGGAGCCTCCGCCGGGAGTCTCCTCTTCTGTCACGTCCACCTGGGGGACAGATCAGAGAAGGAACGTTATTCTCCCCGCCCTCAGGCAGGGCTGAAGGCTTGGCTTCTCGTCACACGAGGCTGCAGGTGGGGCGCACCACTTCCCACAGACACCTGCTCCCAGGGACATGGGCTCCTTCTTCCAGGGGCTCCACAACCACCCTCATTTTCGCACCTGCATTTCAGGGGCACCCATTCAGCGCGGAGTCTTCCAACCTCACTACTGAACACCGATCACACACTGACTCCCATGCAATGCACCCTGCCACCCTTTTCAATGATGCAATTCTGTGGCATCGAGTGTGTCCATGCTGCTGTGCAATCGGCACCACCATCCCTCAGCTCCAGAACTTTCCCACCTCCCCAAACGGAGACTCTGCACCCATAAACACCCACTCCCGTCCCCGCACCCTCAGCCCTGGCACCCACGCTCTATGTTCTGTGTCTGAGTTTGATGTCTCTGGGATGTCACGTGAGACTGATATTGATACGTTAGATGGATACATGGTGTTTACATTTATTTTAATCCTTGCCTGAGGATATTTTTCATTTATCTTCAGATAGAGTGGGAGGGAGGGAAGAGAGAGAAAGAGAGAGAGAGAGAGAGAGAGAGAGAGAGAGAGAGAGAAACATTGATGTTTCTGGCTGCCTTTTTCATGACCTGACCAGGGCTGGGGATGAACCGCAACTGAAGTAAGTGTCCTTGACTGTAATCGAACCTGTGACTCTTTGGTCTGCGGGCCGACACTCTAACTGCTGAGCCAAACAAACCAGGGCACGTTTTTCACTTTTTTAAATTTTGTATTGATTTTAGAGAGGAAGGGAGAGGGAGAGAGAGATAGAAACATGGATGAGAGAGAACATCGATCGGCCGCCTCCTGCATGCCCCCCACTGGGGATCGGGCCCACGACCTGGGCATGTGCCCTGACCGGGAATCGAACTGGCGACCTCTTGGAGCAGGGTTAACGCTCAACCACTGAGCCACACCGGCCGGGCACGTTTTTCACTTTCAAGTGTGCTGTGTGTCAAGCTGTGCAGCCGACATTACAGATAAACACACCACAGGACGTAGCTCTTCCTTCCCAATTCTCGGCAGCAACCTGAGGAGCACTGGGGTCCTGTGACACTTGACGGTTCCGTGGGTATCCCCTGCCATCCCGTCTGTTCATGGCGCTGCTTTTACAAACTTCCCTACTTTCTTTTTCCTTTGGAAATGACTCTGTTTTAGACCATCTGCACAGGGTTCAGTGTTGTCAGACTGCATTTTTTCCTACAGATGTATCCATTTTATTTGAGTTTTCATGTTTATTTCAATGGAGTTGATTTGGGTTTTTTTTGTTGTTGTTGTTTTGTTTGTCTGTTTGTTTTTATCCTCACCCGAGGACGTTTTTCCATTTTTTGTTCTGATAGAGTGGGAGGGAGAGAGAGAGAGAGAAACATCGACGTGAAAGGGACACTTCGAGTGGCTGCCACCTGCACAACCCAACCAAGGCCAGGGACAAACTGCAACCGAGGTACGTGCCCTTAGCGGGAACCGAACCCGGGTCTCTCTGGACCGCAGGCCGATGCTCTAACTGCTGAGCCAAATCAGCCAGGGCTCAATGGAGTTGAATGAAAGACCTTCTTCCTCTGGTCCTATAGCCTCTCTGTCTAAAGGAGGAAAATAATTACTATTGGCCACGTGCTGTGATGACACCAAACGTACCAAAAGCTCGAGGGAGGAGCAAACTGTCACACGGACAGTAACTCCACAGGCAGACCCCCACGGCCGAGCCAGATTCCCACACAGACCCACTTGGGTGCAGCGGTGGCCATTCATTGTCCCTGCACAGTGGTTCGGGGCTCTGCAAACGTCCTCGGGTCGAAATGTCCAGTGTCCTTGAAGTACATGTGTACACGCATGTCAGGAGCTAAGCGCTCCCTTGGCTGACAGGCGTGCCTTTCAGTGATGGAAGAAATTCTCTCCTAGAACGTTTGTGTTTTCTGGAATAGCAGCGAGCGCAGGTCGTCTGTGCACACTGAAAGGGTACACTAACCAGTGGAAGATGTAACTCTTCACGGGTCCCTAACAGGAGAGCTGTCCTCACGCTCGTCTCACGACCTGCAGAGTGAGACTGTTCTTTCCATGAGGCCGCCCACCTTGACCTGCCAGGACAGGGGCGATCCTTAGAGACCCCGCGGGGGACAGCAGTCACTCATTCTGACCGCTCTTGAACGTGGAAGTTCATTTTGAAGGGCATGAGACACGGTGACATGTCCAGGTTGTAGACGATGACTACACCCGTGCAACGGTGTGATGTGCCCACCCCGGAACGATCCCCTTCCGGGAGCCGGACGTCGGAGGCTTGGTCTCATCCTCGCCCAAGTGAGCGGAGCTCCCCTGCCCCTCACCAGGCCTCCGGCCCTGGGCTACCACAGGGCTCCCTTGCTCTGAGATGTCACGTGTGTCCCGTCCAGGCTCCATCAGCCTCACGGGCACAGACGTGTGTCTGAGCAGACCAGGGCCAGAGGCCAAGGGCACAGGCACCCCGCAGGTCCTGGGGCAGTGACACAGGCACAGGAGGGCTGGCGTCACAGAGGCTGTGGGTAGAGGTGAGGGTAAGACCCTGTGGGCTCTCAGGTGAGCAGCTGGACCGTGACCGGAGCCAGTGGGCAGCCACTAGGGGTTTCTGGGGACAGCACGGACAGGTGCTTTGGGAAAACAAAGACATGAACATTTGGTAACAGGGTAACGTATGGGTTAAGAGCATAGGAAGAATGGGAAGGTGCTTGTGTTCTTAGTGGTGCCCACCCTACCCCAGTCACCTGCTGCTGGGTGGGATTTATGGGACAGCTTTTGCTTATCTGACAGGAAGGGACAGGCTTACATGGAATAGTCCTTTCCCACCTGGCACCCCGCCTTCTTCCTGCCTTAAGCAAAGACTTCCCTGTAGGGACACCTGTCCCCTTGGAGGTTGGAGGCAGGAAGCAGAGGACAGACAGACTCTAACGTACAAAGCCACCCCCAAAGGACTCAGGGAGCCTTTGCCCCAGCCCTAGACAGCCCGTGTTTCTCCTGTAGACACGTATTCTTCCAAGCCAAACAGGTCAAATACTTGGTTATTTGTAGCCGAACTGATCCATGAAGATAGAATCATTCCGGTGTCAAAACTAGAAAAGTCACAGGAAGAAAAGGAAATCACAGGTGGATTTCATTCATGAACATAAACATAACACATAAAAGACTAGCGGATGAATCCAAACTGTAGAAAAAGACATGAAGACATGCC